GAATTTTAGAAACACGTCATCTACAATTTTAAGTAATACATATACAGCACACAATACATAAACATATAATACATACACACATAATACACAAACCCATAATACACAAACAAATAATACAAAAATAAATGCTACAAAAACACGCAAAATAATAAAAATTAATATCATGGTAAGGACATAAACGTCACAGTCAGATTTTTTTAACTAAAAGCATGGCTGTTGCCTATAACAATAGGTCACGCCAGTTTTAAAAAATATAACTCGCTAAGAGCTCTTTGGTTATATTTTTCGCTTATTTTTAAAAATAATCTATTTTGAAAATGAATTCCGGAGTGGAAATCTAAACATCAGTCAAAAATGTAATTTTCAATATAATCAATAATTTTGGCTTAATGCCATATAAAGATAACATTTAAGTTGAAAATTTCTTTTATATCGGTAGTTATGTGGAACATCTATTTACGAATTTTATTCCCAGTAATAAATCAAACGCCAATTCTATACAAAATTCCTTAACTTTTCACTCTGTCAAAAATCTACATTTTTAAATGAAACTGTTGTTGAAATAAAAAAGGCAACGGAATGAGGAAGATTAATTACAAAGCTAAGAGAAAAGGTCCCGAAACAGGAGTCCGCACTTATTTTTATTTGCCATTAGAAGTTTACTATAAATCAGCGTCACATTTTCTCTCCTTCCCGAGCGCCGTTAAATAACAGTTAGCAGCAAAGTCAGTAAAAAATAATCTATATTTACGATTATCTACTAGAGAAAAGACACTAGCCTTACAAGAAATGAGTATTTGAGAAATAACTTACTTTTTTGCCTGTATACCTCTTTCAAATTTATAGCAAAAAAAATATTCGTAGTAATCGAATTATTAATATATTCCTATTTATTTAGTAAAATAGAGACACGAGTCATTTTAGATCAAATAAAAGTCCTCAATAGATACTCGAAGAAAAACTTAGCAAAAAAAGAGGGTAGCAAGAAGAGAACAAGCGATAATTCTTGGTTTATAGAAGCAGGTGGGGGCTATGGTTCTGCAGTTTGTAAAATCAATTTTCTAACCTGTATAAATAACCTATCCAAAATTAATATTTAAGCCGATTATAAGATAATAGAAAATATAAATAAAATGTTTAAAAATTTGTAGATAAAATGTCTATATTCACTGATAATGGTGAGATATATTCTCAGACTCACGACAGTGGCCCAAAAATTAACACAATAAATGTACCGGCTGATTATTCAGTAGAATAAAAGCCAATAAGAAAAAGAAGAAGAATGTTGACCTAGAACTGAAATTAAGTCAGAATTGCGAGAAATGTTCTAAATCCTATTTTGGATTCTACGATTTGTTTGACCTATACAGTATAGAGGATCGGGCGCAGTCTGCACAAGGAATTTCATAAACGACTGTCGATTATCTCCTAAAAATTTTCGCACGCATCTGGACGTCGAAAGTAGCACAGTTTTCTGCACGACCTTATATAGATGTTCATTTAGACCCAGCTTTTTTATGTTTTCTAGATGGTTCTTCGGAATGACTCCAGTGGCAGAAAAAATAATAGGTATCGTCTGGGTACTTTCCATTCTCCATTGTCTTCTTATTTGTATTTACAAATCTCTGTACTTGGCGATCTTTTCGTTGTACTTAACACCCAGATTATTGTTGTTAGGTCTTGTTAGTTTATTGACTAGCATGAGATCTGGTCTATTATGTGCTACAGTTTGGTCTGTGAGCACAGTGCGATCCCAGTATAGCTTGCAGTTATCATTCTCCAGCATACTCTCAGGAAACGTATTGATAATATGGGAGATGGTTTGTTTGTAGAAGTCCTAGTTTAAAAGCTATCTTTTGATGGAGGATTTTCCCTACTGAGTCATGCCGTTCCATATATTCGGTTGCAGCAAATGCCTGACAGCCTCCGGTAAGATGTTGTATAGTTTCTTGGACTTGGCATCCATATCGGCATTTGTCGTTTTGGACCTGAGGGTCTTTGACGATATATTTCAGGTAATTTTTGGTTGGTATAACCTGATTCTGAATGGCGAGTAATGAACCTTCTGTTTCAGGGAACATCTTTCCTGATGTCAGCCAATAGTTCGACGCTATATTGTTTTCGACTACTATTGCTATCGAGTTCATTCGGATATCGCCCGTGCAAAGGTTTACCCATCTAGATGCGCATTTTTTCGTTCTTAGTAAGATGGTTTATGCGCATTTCTTGTTCCCTCAGTTTGATCGGTGTTGTGTCATCTACTGCGCAAATCGCGCGATGAAGAGTAGATGTCTCCGTCTGCACCTGAAAATAAGTTCTTAAATTAGTAATCTGTTTATCTAATTGCTCGCTTATATGTATAAGTTCTCGTCCTCCTAAATACCGCGGTAATGTCGTTCTTTCTACTGCACTTCGAGGATGGTGTTTTTGTGCCTTTGTGAGGTGTGTTCGTACTTTTCTCTGAAGAGTTTCTATATCCGTTTTAGTCCACTTAATAATCCCAAATGAGTAGCTAAGCGCGGAAAATGCGTAGGTGTTTAATGCCTTAAACAAATTTTTACTATTAAGATGTGAGCAGAGTAGCTGTTTTACTCTTCGTATGAACTCTGATGTTAATTCGATTTTCATTTGTTTATGGTCAATTTTCCGCGCCTGCTTTACTCCTAGATATTTATACATGTCATTTTCGCTCATAGCCTCGATGTTTTGGCCATTTTGCATATCGAATCCCCCGGGCTGAACCTTTCCCTTGACTATATTTAGTACACGACATTTGTCTAACCCAAAGTGCATACTGAAAAAAGTCATTTGAAAAAGTTTCTACAGTTTTTAGCATTTGATCTAAGTGATTTCGAGTGGAAGCCATTTGTTTCAAATCATCCATATACAACAAATGATTAAGCTTACAGTGTTGTCGTTTTTAATGCTAAAACCTGAGTCAGTGGAGTTCAATAGCTGGGATAGTGGGTTCATCGCTAGACAGAACCACAAGGGACTCAGCGAGTCTCCTTGGAATAGGCCGCGGTTAATTGCGATATTTTCCGTTTCGATATTGTTTTCACCAGGTATTTGGAGGTGAATTTTAGTCTTTCAATCTGTCATTATATGTCTTAAGAAGGTCACTATATCATCATCGACTTTATATATTCTTTATATATCTACAAGCCATTCATGCGGCACTGAGTCAAAGGCTTTCTTATAGTCAATAAAGGCAGTGAAGAGGTTCCTTTTTTTGGTGTATGCCTGGTTAGAAATGACTGAGTCGATAATAAGTTGTTCTTTGCAACCCATGGAGCCCTTAGCGCATCCTTTCTGTTGAGGTTCTATGATATTGTTTAGAGCGCAGTGTTGGTAGATACGCTGGGCTACACATGATGTGACCAATTTATACAGAGTTGGAAGACACGTAATTGGGCGGTATTTGGCTGGATCTTGGGTATTATTTTGATCCTTCGGTATTAAATAAGTTGTTCCCTGAGTTGGGAATGACGGTATTTGCTGCGGATTAGAAATAACACGATTAATTAATGTTGACAGGCACTCATGAGCACTCCAGAACTTCTTAAGCCAGAAGTTTTGAACTCCGTCTGGTCCAGGAGATTTCCAGTTATGAAGCTCTTTGATGATATTAGAGACTTCTTCTGTGGTGAAGGGTTCATAAATAGTTGTGCGGTATTGTTGACAGTTGTGCGTCGTATCTTCTATCCATCCAGCATTAGTGTTAAGTGCAGCTGGTGGGGAAAGTTGATTTCCCCAAAACTCCTGAATGTCTTCTTGGCTTGGGTATAATTTATTGGCACTTTCGGTAGTGGAATTAAGTTTCCGATAGAATATCTTCTCGGCATGCTCAAAAAACGCATTGTCACATTTCCTGCTGTTACTAATCTTGTACCTTCTTAGCCGTCCTGAATAAACGGAGAGTTTTTGTTTTAATGTATCCAGGCAATGATGGGCTGTGATGTTTACTGGATCATACTGCGAGTGTCTTGCAGTGCTTAGCATTATTTGATCAGCTCTTTTAATGACTTTTCTACTTGTTGTTCCTCGTATATATTCTGTCATTTGACCAATGTCCCTACGCAATAATTCAATCTTGTTTAGGAGCCGTTTCTCCCAGGGTGCAACTCTGTTATCAGTCCTTCCGGAATTAGTACCCCGTCGTGTTCTGATCTTAATTCCCATTACATTAGCTGTTGCTGTTGCTGCACAGTAAATAAGCATATGCAAATATTCCAGCGTATGGGCTTCTACGACGTAATTGGGTAGGACTTCAGTATTTATAATTTGTAACAGAGCACCTAGTTTTTTAGAAGAGTTTATTTTTGGTAGCGGTGGTCTGCTAAGTAGATTTGTTCCATTAAACTCTTGTACAGCTCGTGCCATTTCGCTTACCAGAGTATCACGTAACTCGTTGTTGTCCTGTAGTGTATTATCAGGTTGAGTTTCTTGTATGGTAAGCTCAGAAATCTGCTCATGTCTTTCATTAGGGACTTGATCTACATTTACCTCTTGGTGATTATTCTCCCGTTCGACTTCGCTTTTGATGGTATTGCGTTTAGCCTCGGGATAAGATTATTTCTTATAATTACCCGGTATTGATCAGCAACTCGTTGTTCAGTTACTTGAATTTCTGGGTACTCGCTGCAAAATTCGGCATAGAGATTTTGTCAATACCCGATCGTCTCTTGACCGAGGTTTGTCACCTGGTAATAGAAGCGCAAAATATTCTCATTTATGGACGCAGTCCATCTCATGCGCTGCCTCGGTCGTCTCGTTTGGGTAAGCGCCGGCTGATGTTCTAGCGCAGCACTTTCAGCAAGTGGAGCTCTTGTTGTTGTTTGGTTACTATTATTATTATTATTATATTATGCGTCCTCTTGCTGGTTTTCTGGATTTCCGGTCTTGTTTGGAATGCCATACCAACCTTCCAAATGGCTAAAAGTAGGTTTTTTATAGTTGGACGGTAAGTTTTTAAGAAGAAATGTAAAGATCCACTATTTTTAATTTATAATATTTTATTGCGTGTTATTTTACATTATTATATAAATTTGTAATCAGTACCATTTATTATCATGTTTTTTATTTAGGCTTTTAAATTTACTCAGTGCTCTATACACAAGAAAAATAAGTTGAAATAAATAAACAAAAACATATTATTTATTATAGTATTGTTTTAATACACAAGGAAACAATTCCTAAAACTGCAAAACCAACTGGCACAATGTTAGATGATGATGCTTGTGTTGTTGGAGGAATTTGAGTTGTTGATGTTGCTGAATCTGTTGTTTGTTTTGTAATATTATCCTTATCGTTGTATACATTTAGTGTATTTATGACATGAAAATTAAGTAGACTGTCGACATCTTTGGCTAATAAGAAATCAATGTGATTAAAACGATCATATTCAATCACATGACTTTCGACTATTTTGGGTAAGTCACTTGCGAGATGTTGTATATCCTAAAACAAAGAGCATAAAAAATTACAGTATACGATTAAGAAGATATAATATAATTTTATTTTATTTTAATTTAAATGATTTAGTTGATTTATTAGCCATTGAAGTCCTATGACATTTTAAAATAGAGCAAATAGAAAAATATTGTTCTGAAGCTATTTACTTGTGGCACTTTAAAATAATTACTATTTAAATGGGAATAAGCCACAATTAATCGTTTAAGTAAGTAAATTGGCTTTTTAATTTTCACTTTCGAAATCTTCTTAAAATACAAACATTAGTAAATAAAAACACATTGTGTTTTTTTGTTACTTGGTGAAAAATTCTTCTAATAATTTAATTTTATCTGACTCACTCATATTGACAATTCATACATACATTATAAATTTTAAAGTAGACGGCTTTAAAATGATATTGCCAATATTGTTAAGTTGCGTTTCTGGAACGACTTTACTTGTAAGATAGTTCATTTGATTACATGAAATCAATTTTTACTTAAAAATATCCGTCAGATAAAAATCATAGCCTGTAATTCGTATTTAAAATAACAAACACATGCCATGGTGATAGTTAAACTCTCTTGTTAGTGTTTCCATCCAAAACCTCATAATACTATCATGACATTTTAAGTATTTGGTCTCTAATTTAGTTTACTCTCAATACACACTAAATTTTGATTTTATATGTTTGTTATTTAACAAACATAAATAATGTATCCGTGATATGTTACTGACTTACTAATATTCGTATTTGTCTTTTAATAACTTCCTCTTTTAATATGGGTAACCTAGTCCTACTACATTCTGCCGGGGAATTTGCGACACAATTGGTCTCATTTAGCATAATTAGAGACGCTTCTTTAATTTTTTTTACCATCCGTTTCTTTAAAGACTACACTTGATTCATTCCATTAAAACCCATGTTTATTATTTTATGCGTGTTTACATATTTGAGATCTATCAAATTCTCTATTTTTAATATAATATTGATGTTTACTTATTCTAACATTGAACGGCCTTGATGTTTCACCTAAATATAACTGATCGCATTAAGGTATTTTTTAATACACGTCTTCATCCTTTCTTGTTCATTGTTACTTTTGGCTTTAGAAAAAATAGATATCAATGTGTTTATTGTGTTAAATGTTGTTGAAATGTTGACTTTATTTCCTATCCTTTTAAGTTTTTCTGATAATCCTTTCATGTATGGTATTGTTATTTTTCTATAGAACAAGCAATTTTGGGTCTATCGTATAAGGATTTATTGATTTCCTTTTTAATATTAATATTGGGATTTGATTTTAAATTTAATTATCTGTTGGTGTGTGTTGGTTTTCTATACACGTGAATCTCGTATCCAGTATTGTTCTTACAGATTAAAACATCTAGGAAAGGTAATGTGTTATTATATTCCTTTTCCATGGTAAATGTTTTTGTCGCTCCATTATCATTTATATTATTTAGGAATGTGTTCCATGAGAGAATACATACCATATTGAGAATACATCATCTACATATCTTCAATATACTCTGGGTTTTCAATTTTGTTTAGAAATAATAATTGTTTCAAAATCTTCCATAAATGTATCGGATAATAATGGAAATAAACTAGAACCCAAATTTTGTTTATCGAATTCTTTATTTAGTTAAAAATATGTATTATCAGTACGTAATGTTTTTTTTTTATTTACTAATAATAGTCGCTTTAACCACCTGGGTCATTAGCGACATTAGTTAATACATTATATTAAATTATATAAAGATGTTTGTTTTAGAAATCTAATTAAGTTTTTAGTATTTAAATGTTCACCTAATACTGTTTTTAGGTCACTGGAAATATTGTTATTTTGTCTGTTAACTGTATATTTTCCACATTCTGTTAGGAGATATTTAACAGTAATATTGACTTGACAGTAATCACACACTGGAATGTCTTCTTTACTTATTAGGTGCTTATGAGTAATATTGGTATGACCTAATCGAAGTCGAGAAATTTTGACTTGGTCAGCTCTTTTTAAGTTTACTAGGCGCCACGGTTTTACTGTCGATTTAATTTCTTTTAATTTAGATTCCGATAAGTTCCACTTATTTTGCCACGCACTAATCACTTTTTCTTTAACGAACTGTTTTATATCACTGCAGATAGTCTTTGACACTATTATAGCTTGATCATTTTTGGTAGCTTCTCTTGCTTGGAGGTCTGCGTTTTCATTACCTTGTATTCCCGTGTGAGATGGAACCCACATAGATTTGACTTCTGAACCAAACTCTTGTAAGGCAGCAAGTTCTTTCTTGACAAGTAAGGCTATAGGGTTCTTAGTATATAGTTGACCGATTGTTGTTAAGAAGTTTAGAGAATCTGTGATAATGACGGAAGACGAATGGTTTGTACTTTTGATATGAATGAGGGCTTGTAATATTGCATATAATTCTGCTGTGTATATAGAAGTGGCTGGCATTAATTTAAATTGGGAAAAAGAATATGGAGTGACAAATGCTGCTCCTACTTCATTTACAGATTTGGAGGCATCTGTATAAATGCAAAAGCTTTTCCCGTAAGTCTCGAGTTCCTGTAAACATGACTGTTGGATTACAGTGGGTGATATATCTGATTTGTTATATTGGAGTAGCGTCGTATTAATTTCGGGAATCATGATTAACCAGGGAGGTGGAGTTTATACATTTGAAGGAAAGAGGTCAGAAATTTGGAGTTGTAGAACTTTTAAATTTCTTCGAACTCTTTCGTAGAATGGTGGACGTAATGTTAATAACTTCATTATAGCTGATATGTTTAGTCTTGTTCTAGTTGCCTATGTATCATCATCACTCTCCAATTTTGTCTTGACTATATTTGAGTCTTATCTAATGACATATTCATAAATAAACTATTTATGTCAAAACTTACCAAAATATTTGAATAAAATTCAATATTTGATTATTTATTTAAAAAATATTGTGTCTTTTTTATAAATGTGTTATTTTTATTTGCAAATGGTTGTATAATATTTAATAAAAATTTTGATAGTTCACTATAAGGATAAATTCATGGTACTACAAATGGGTCTAAGTGTTATATTCGTTTTATGAACTTTCGGTACTTCATGAAAATGGGTGTTCTTACTGTAATGAGGTGTAATTAATTACAAATCGAATGAGACTTTCTAAGATCCGATCGGTTAATTTCGTTTAGAGATACGTTAAATTGTTTACAAAAATGTTTAAATTTTTATAAATTTTACAGTACCAGAACTATTTTTTTTTAAAGATATAGATCTAATTTTAAACAAATTCTCTTCTATTCTTGGTCAATTAAGTTTTTATTTAGAAATAACCTTAATTGATCCAAAAGACTTGGACTTGGAGGACTTTGGGGGATAGTCAAGCAATTGTCATTTATAATGTTGTGCTTATTTTAAAAATTAACCAATTTTTTCTAAAAATAATTCATTTTTGTCTCTGCAGCTTGGACAATTGCGTCGAGCTGACAGGAGAACCAACCAAACTGGAGCCCATTCGACCACTCGACAAAACTAGTCAACTTTATTCGTGTTTTTTGACTATAAATAGAAGTTTTTTAAAAATTTAAATTGTATCCTTATGAAATATATTCCTTTAGCTATTGAATGAATGGCGTTAATTTTAATTCCTAATTGTTTTAAACAGAGCAGCTGCAATTTTTTAAACAAATTAGCTATACCATGGAGCTTGCTCAACTTGTATTGGTCATAGAAACCTTTTTTTAAATCTTTGTCTTGACTTTAGCTATAAGAATCAATAAGTTTAAAATGTGTGTATTGTATAGGGAGCGCTGCAGCTAAATTAGTTTATAAATAGTCGCAGCTACTTTAAATCAATCACAAGAAGCGTCTTTATATAGACCTATTTCACTGTTACCTGTCATATCTAAATTATACGAAAAATTACTCTTGAAGAGACTAAAACCGATTATAGAGGAAAAAAGTCTTACTCCTAATTATTAGTTTGGGCGAAGAGCAAGCCACTTAACGATAGATCGGGTGCATAAAATAACAGATATACTAAAAAAGCTCTAGATTAAGGAAAAGTTGGTTCGGCAATTTTCCTCGATGTAGCGCATGCTTTTGACAAGGTGTGGCATGGCGGATTATGTCATTAAATCAGATGCTACTGACCAAAACAATATTATGAATTACTAAAATCATATATATCCGACAGATACTTTCGAGGAAGCATATTCAGAATGAGAAGTTAAAGCTGGAGTTCCCGAAGGAAGTGTCCTGGGACCAGTGCTATACCTGCTCTATATCAGCGATATTCCGTCATTAGAACCTAACACAATTCCGACATTTACAGATGACACATGCATTCTAGCAGTCGGACAAAACCATAAGGGTGCAGCAACCATGCTACACAACTCTGTTGAACAAATTAATATCTGCACCAGGCGATGGCGTATCAAATTGAATAAAACGAAATCTGTTCATGTCAATTTTACTAACAAAAGAGAACAACATATCCCAGTTAGTATAAATAGAAACCAAATACCTTATGCAAATACGGCAAAATTTTTGGGTATGGCATTAGATTAAAAGCTACGTTGGAAAGCGCATATAAAGAAAAAAAAAGAAATAAAAATTAAGTTCAGAAAGATGTACTGGCTGATAGGAAAAAAATCCCCTCTTTCTACTTATAACAAATTGTTATTGTATAAGCAAGTCCTTAAACCGATATGGACATACGGGATACAGCTATGAGGCTGTACAAAAGAAAGTAACATCCAACATATACAACGATAACAGAATAAAGTATTAAGGAACATCGTTAACGCTCCGCTTCAAGGCACTTCAGAAACTGTGATATTCATCGAGACCTCCAGATACGGTTATCTAGTCAATAAGTAAGTTTGGCGAGAGTCATGAACAAAGGCTCTCCAATCACGTGAATGTCGAGGTCATCAAACTCCTAGACAACGAAAACCAGATAAGAAGACTTAAGAGAACGAAGCGTTGAGCTAGTGCTATAAG